ATAATTGCGACGACCCCCCCCCTTTTCCACAAGAAAAATCAACTATCAAAATAAATTTGTCTTACAAATACGACCCCCCCCCTCCCCAGAGCAAAAGTACGACCCCCCCCCATGGGTTTGACACAACGATGCTGTACCCTGGTTGCAATGCACCGACCCGGACGCCCATCGCGCCCGCCTGCCCACAACACAACCGTACCTAATGCTCGCATTGCTTCATTTGCGAAGTAAAATACGGAACGAAAGGATTGTTATGAAGCAGTTGCTGCATGGATGTATGAGTACATATCGAAATGAGAACCCTGAGATCGGGTAGGCGTGGCCGCATGCTTCAACTTAACCTGAAGGTGTCTATGCTTCTGGTGAGATATTTTCATCTTGACACAATTGTTGTCGTGTCTCTGTCCAACAGAGAACAAGATGACAGTTGTCCCAGACTGGAATATTCCACGAGTAACCAGTTCCGTGCCATGTTCAAATGCCACGCCTACTCTGGCTCAGGGATAAGGAGTCTACACGCAGTCGTATCTTCCGTAGCGGTTATTGGAACGATGCCTACAGGAAACTTCTTACTTTCCGAGCCATGAAGAGCGGAGGCTTTTCTTTGCAGGTATTTGATCATTCCACTTCGTTTGTTCGCTATTTTTCCACTATATAGCACTGTGCTAGCATTTTAGACCGAGTACCAAATTTTCGTACGAAATGCCCTTAAGTAAAAGCAGCGAAGCACTTTGGATATAAAAGAAGCAAAAGTAGAGGAAAGCTGAGAAACTATCACGTACAGCCACATTTGCATAGCACTGTGTATGCAAATGTGGCTGCAGATGGGGATGTCTATACGACCCCCTTATGCCGTCGGAATACGGACAAATACCCCGACGGCATTAGCGGTCGTATAAACACCCCGTTCAGGAAGGTCGTACCGACCGAGGGCTTTTTCGCGACGTGATGTTTGACCCTGGTATGGCGGGGCACCTCCCGCGTGAGGAAAACTTTCGGAGAATACAACCCCACCCCCTAATTCCCTTCTCTGATACGACCTCATTTTCCCATGCAACCTAACTTTCCTAGATCCTCACCTTCCCACCATTTTTTCCCCAGTTTTCCAGAATTTTCCGGAAATTTTCTAGGTTTTTTTTGGAGATTTTTATTATTGTCATTTGTATGTGTTTAGCACATGTGAAACGGGGAAAAAGTCCACGATCGGGAAAATTTTTCTCCCAACGCCGCGAATTCCTGTCAACGGCAAATACGACCGCCTTATAGCGTCCGTGAAACAAGAGAAGTCAACAATAAAAAAATTTTCTCAGGACCAACTTCGACCCCCCCCCAGGACCAAATACGAGCCCCTCCCCCAACGCCCAAATACGACCTTCTTCATAGAACGACCAAATACAACCCCTGGTGGAGATCCCCAACGCAAGAAGTGCTTTGTGATATGGTATTGTCGGAAGCTTTCCAATGTTCACTAACAATTCAGGCTCTGGAGTTTATTCTGAGAAGCTTAAAAGGGCTGGGAAAATCCTGAAACCTCCCGAAAATTTCCTGCAATCTTTCAGTCCTGAGCACCTCTTCAGCCCCAAAACTACCTCATAGGTAAAACGTCACCCTTCATATTATGCCAAGCACCGTCGCCTTTATTTCACCTCAACGAATTTTGATAACAAAGCAACAGATATGCACTACTCAAAACGAATTCTCATCCGAACATCCCTCAAGTTCTGTTCAATGTACTTACAAATCATACGGTATTCTCTTCCCTGTGCAATCTCACGCAACCGCAAACCACAGGCGTAAAAGAGTGCGTAGTATACGTAAACCACAGTAAAGACGACGTATCTGGCGCCTGATTGTGCTGCAATTGAATAACCATTCACTTAAGGTGCGTGATACACTATTGGTTCAAGTTGGAATCCTTTTTTCTGGGAGTTTGTATAATATATGCATCATTGTAGCGATTGATATTCAATTGACAAGGTTCAGAACAAGAGAAACGAAGCTGTGAGTCGGCCATCATGGCGGCATTAGCAGCCAGCTCGGAAGGGACCGGTTTGAATCCTATGTCGTTTACCGATCAGCATGGAAATGTTGGTGAGTAAATCCGAACACGTTCGCGTTTAGTGTCTCTTGAAGACTTTCTTTAATTTATTTTTTGAATTTTCAATTGTTGGTCATTGTCGGCATTTCCATTTAACTTAGTTGAATCGCTGCTTTCGTAGAACATTTCGGGAGAGGGCTTCTATGGAATTTAGGCCAGTTCAAACAGTGAAGGTGTTTGAGAAAGGTTTGCTTCTTTAGAACAAAGAAGTTGGCCGAAGAGTCAAAATCGAAATTTGTCTCGCAGTTATACCTGTAATATATCTTACATTGCGTTGCGCTTGCATTTTATCCCTTTCTCCTACTTATTTTTCTTCATTTCGAGGACGGACTGATGCATTTATATTCTTGCTGGGATTTTCCTGAATTTTTTGGTTTATTCCTGTGTAGAAACTTCCTCGGAGGAAGAAAATCTTGTTCTGCGCACGCGAAACGCTTTCTGTCAGCGCGCTTGGAAAAGAGTCGCTTATTCAATAAAATGAAGTGTCTTTGGTAATAAAAATTATGGACCAAAGTTGTCACTGAAGTTGGAATTCTTGCCGGGGCTAAATAGGGGGGGGGGGTGTTTTACAATTAATTGCATCCGTTATTGAAGCCTTATCTTTGAACGCGAGTACTGGCGGCTGCAAGCAGATATTCAGCACCATTAAATGCATTTATCTAGTTATTATCCAGTAAAAAAGTTCTAATGATCAACACCATCCAGAATTTTTGAAAATTAGTATGTACTGGTTTGATTTCTGTGAAGCGAACTCGTTTCAGATTACGATCGTGAATTTGAAAAGTACGTACGTCCTACAAACATTCTGTAGCATGAACCGCCTTGCAATTTATATATCTTGCTCGCGCTCTCCAAAGTCATACGAAATTGCCTTAAGTTCTGGCCCAATGCTGATTTCCTCATAAATTTTTTTCCTTGCTTGCTCTCGTCTGCCTTTCTTCAGTATTCCGCAGATGGAATTTCGCAATAGAAAATTCCCTACAAGTCTCAACGGCAGCACTCATAAATCACAATCAATTGGGTCATGTGATTCTGCAATTGAAGGTATAGCTACTGTTCCCTTCAACGCGCCCACTACTATTCGCCAAACATTTGGCTTGTTTCTTGAATTGTATGATCTGTGCATACTTAATTCCACCCGGGCATTCTCCATATCACGAGGCAGTCGTGAACTATAAGCACCTCGCTAGCATCCTGTGGCCACATCCGAAGGAAAAGTACAGCTCGACAGATGAAAAATGCTCTAATACAGCTCCGCTGTGCATTTTTCGTCGAAATTTTGATATCTGGTCGCAAGGTCCGTATATCATATTTGTCACTGGATACTGCGGGAATCCGGTCCTTTCACAATTAAGCATGATGAGCGCTGAAATCTCTGAAACAGGTTATATGGGGTCTAGTGGCTCTTCTCACAGTGAGTTCACGTGTAAATAGTGCGTTTTGATGTGCATCTTTTTTACCTCGTTCTTTACCAAAAAACCTTTGCTCCTCTTGAAAAGGGTAGATACGATTTAGCAAAGTTTCTCAGTAAGGAAGCAAGTTCAAAACGAGGAACGTAAGTCATATTTATTTATCAGTTATATCAGAAGTTTTGAGAAAATTTCGCACTTTTGAGAAAGAGAACTGTTTATTGATCTTTTATGTCGCTGCTCGGTGTTATTCTCCATTGTTACTATGACATTATTCAAAAAATGTGCGAGTGCTCACGACTCCCAGCCTTTTACTTCATCCTCACATGCTGGATAAAGATGCTTCGAAATTATCTACAATAGGGGTCAATTACTCTCCTGTATGGAAGTTTAGCTCCCATGTTGTGTACGTCTCCGCTTTTTCGGTACTCAAATCATTCTAGCTCCCACGCAAAGTAATCCCGCCCAAAAGTTAAGGGAAATGGGATGGACAATGTTTAGTATAATTATGGATTCCTATCTCTCATTGTTGTATGATTGTTGAACTGCCTGATTTAAATTTCTTAAATTTTTCGAACCCCCAACATTTATTATAGTGCCCTTGTAGCGCCATATCAAGCTGCAACATACCAACCCACCGCGCCCGCCCGCATACCAATGTCCGACCGATGCTGATGCTCACATCGCTTCATTTGCGAAGTAAAATATGAAGCGAAGGGATTGATATGAAGCGGCTGCGGTGCTGCATGGACATACGAGTACATACATGCAGCCGCATCTAGGTGTCGGCAGGATGTCAGTGACGAACTGGTCCGAAATTGCTTTCTCAGTCATGTAGAACAGAAGTATTTTTTGGAGGTTTTCGACCGTTTTACTTCGCTTTTTCGCCATTTTCACCCTATATAGCACGTTGATACCATTTTAACCTAGTTCCAAATTATCTTACAAAAAGAGGGAGATAAAACTGTAGAAGGGTCGGCCACGATTTAATTTAGAGCGTGACATTTCAGTCAGGTTGCTAAGTGAGGGTAAGTATGCTGTGCCAGCGTTCGAAGTACACGGTGTGGACCATATGGTTGGTAGTTTAAATGGAAACTATAGATCAAATTTTCAGTTCTGGAACGCATGAGGTATCAAAGGGAGACTGGTCGCTTTTGTGATGTTTGCATAGTTGTCAAAGATCGACAGTTCTCCGCTCACCGTAACATTCTAGCTTCGTGTAGTCCATATTTCGATTCAATTTTAAGATCAACAAAGGTTACGAAGGAACAGGTACAATAAATAGGCTTTCGGCTTACTTCACTGTAAATTTTCTCACTGTTGACTTTCGTAGGTTATTGTGAATTGCCAGCAACCGAAAGCGTTTGAGTTACTGCTGAACTACATGTATAGCGGATGTGTCGTGATTGATCGAACGACCGTAGCAGAGCTTCTTCGACTTGCGAATAATTTTCTGGTAATTTCTGAATACTTATTGTTTTTTTTTCCGTAATTTATCCTTCGATCTCCTTATTTGATCTCTTGCAGGTCACGAAGCTTAAGAACTATTGCGCAGAGTATTTGGACAGGTACTTAGACGCTGCTAATTCTTTATCAGTTCGGCAGCTTGCAACACGATATAACTTGCCATCTTTGCTCAAAGCGGCGTCTGAATATTTCGATGTTAACATCAACCGCTGCTTGCTCGAATCTGTTGATATTCTGAAGTATCCAATGCCACAGCTTCTGAAAATACTGGAGGATCCCAAATACCAGGACGTTATCAGTCCGGATGTTTACTTGAAGTTAGTCCTTTACGCTTTCCTAACAAAACCGACATTAGTGCTGGCTATGCTCCAGTTTTTCTCTTCTTGCAACCTTGGCTTGTTAGTGAGTGTTTTACTTTTTCTGTACTTTTCGAGGTTGCTAATTGTAACATTCGCTCAATAAGGCTTGACATTCGAACTGAATGGTCTTTCGAAAACCATGAACATGCTAGAAATCGTAGGTTTGCGTTCCTTCTACGCCAAGCGCCTCATCAGCTCCAGCGCCACGGACATCCCCGCAAAGATATCAATGCCGTGAGAACAATCTGACTGAAGGTTACCGTTTGAGCGGAAGAGAGTGTAGGCCACCTGTTAGGCCGCGGGACACTCATCTCCGTGTTTCATTCTGGGTTTTTAGTCTGAAGTGTTTTCGTTGCCAAAATTTCCGTCTATGCTGCTGCAAGGTGCACTTCATTTCAAAATCTATTCCATTTGGGTACCTCATAATAATCTCTTCCGAGGGTTCTTGTAAGAGTAGCCAGTATCACAGTGGTAAGTATCATACCGGTTTGATACGAAGAGCCGAGCGCCCTTCCTGTCTCCCTAGTATATGTGGAGTTATATGCCTGACAATGGATTTTCTGTGTCAACATTTCTGTGAACTTTCTTTTTTTCCGGGGACCTATATTTTAGATATGCACTGCTTGTAGTTGAGTCTGTCGCGGACCGGCAGTCATTTAATTTTTTTCCATCCGGTTTATTGCCCAGAGGACATCACCTTTGCTCTCACAATACTCGTTGGAATGCAGCGGTGACCTTACTAGACATGAAGAGGATAGATAGAAGTAGCTTATTTTTGGGGGTGTGATGCCATGTAACCATTAACAGTAAGCCATGCCATGATTTTTTTTACTGATTTACGCCCTTGTGTGGCAGCGGACTTCGGCTCAAACGGTGAGACCGTCATCCTTTAAAGGCGGGGATTCAGCACGAGCGAAAAGCCATGTTGAATAATTGTTCCTAACTTCCTCGAAAGACACAGCAGAAAAACAACTCTAGCGTTTACGTTTCATTGTTTTTTTCTCAGCATCCAGTTCTAGGCATTAGATAAGGTTTGATTCAGGCTTATTGTGCGTTGGGTCGGCGAGGACGTACCTAGCAGAGAATCTTCTTTTCGTTCGTTGTTGGAGCGATGTCACATAGCTGATGTGTCTGATAATGCCCTTGAATTTGTTCTCGATTATTCTCCACTTCTCACGAAAAGTCAAAGTTGCAGACATATACTGCTCGGTGCCATGTGAGTAGAAATATTTTCAAAGTTTTCTTGACTTTGTCCATCTAGTCTTCGGGATACGGAAAACCTTTTACTCAATTTTCGTCTGAAAAAGAGATGCGGTCAAAGATTTTATAGCCGTTTAGGCATGCCAGCTCCATTCCAATGCCCAAATATGAACAACAATTCATTTCGTTAACACAACAACTGGGAGGTGATGAGGCTGCGTCAGCTCTCCTGGAGTCTAATTCTGGACTAGGTACTGGAGCCGACGAAGATTACGAGAACGATTCCAGGTATACACGTTTTCATCAAAGCAGCGTGACAACGCTGTACAAACTATTTCCTCGTTTTTTCTTATTCTTCCAATGCTATCTTAATCAATAGGAAAATATGCATAAAATGAAATGTACCTGAATGCTCATCAAATGAGAGGAGGTTTGTACTCGATAAGACACAAGTTAGCAGTAAGAAGTTCCGGCCATATTCCACAATTACTACTCCAAAAACTCAAAAAAAATTCCTTCAAACTTCGCCTGTAAGTCTGATTCGGTGTCTAGATCACGAATATGGCATTCACTTTCGGCGCTGGCGTCACTTGGCGCTAATTTTGCGCTTTCACCTTCCTCACCAAAATCGATGGAAACTTGTATGCGAGGCTGTTTGGTATCCTGATCATGGAGATGACATTCATTTTCGGTGCTGGCGCCATGTGGCGACAATATGGCGCGACCACCTTTTCCACCAAAACCGTTAAGAACTTGCATAATAGGGATGAGTGATACCCTGATTCGAAAAGTGACATTCATTTCCCGCCACCATGCAATATGCCAAGGATCAGACTGGGAGGAGTGATTCCCTTTCCACCAGGCTTAGCCTTAGCACAGCGCACATGATCGGAGTGCCTTGCCTTAGCGCCGGTGACAAAGATGACTGTCATGTTTGTGATCAGGATGTTGAGTAACCCCCGCGTACAAGTCTTCATCGATGTCGGTGAGAAGAGCTGGCGCGAAATTGGCGCTTGTTGGCGCCATGTAGCGCCAGGGTTGAAGGTGGACGTGGTATTCGTGGCCGGATATCAAATAACCCTCGCCAAAACCTATCTCACCAAAAAGCGGGAAATGATGTGAATGTGATCTCCGCGATCAATCCACTGAATAACCTCTGTGTGCGGAACTACAGTGGAAAAATTGAGTTTCCGGAGCAGCAATAGTATAATAAGTGAAGGTGTCGCTACATCCTTTATTATAAGAAGTTATTGGAGAGGACCCTTTCCCTGGATTTGGGAAAATTTTTTGGGTACATGACGAAAGATGTGGGTTGCCGGATGCTAGAACAGGGGATGCGGTGCACGGACCTAATTTAAGGAGCAATGTACACGGAGAGACTCACTAGAGGTACCGAGGGCTTCAGAACCAAGAAGCATCTGCTAACACTAACAGTAAAATTCAAAACTGAAAGGATCCTTCCGCCCAAGCAGGAGAAGTTGACTGCACTGTAGGAGAGAAGCTCTGTTTTGAAGAGCTCTGTTGCTTTCAGTTTCGAGCACATGGAAGACGATGAAGAAGAGGAGCCACCAGTCGAAGGACAGCCTTCTACAACTACAATTGTAGGACATTTCAAGTATCTCGAATCAATCCAGATTGTTCCCGTTCATTATAATTTTCGTTCAGCTTGAGACAACATATACTGAAGATGGAGTTGAAAGGCCTCGCCTACGTTTGAAAATCAATTTAGGAGCTCTTCCGTTGTCGGATATCAATAGAAAAAGGTCTAGATGAGTTTATAAATAGTTCTGCATATACCTTTCTTCTTACTTCCGATTTTCTAGGTTTCGTAAATCCAAACTTCTACGCAAATCAATCAACAGCGACAAATCCGTCATAAAGAAAAGGGGACGACATAAGAGGACTGACGAAACTGAGAGTGAGTCGGTTTTTTCAACTTGCTTAGAAAACACTCTGTTTTTCTTGTAGTTCTGCCACTGATGGATGACGACGACCTCGACGGTGTGTACGCGACATCATCTCTTGTTGGAGCTGTAACTTACACAGAAGAAGATGCTATCGATCCTGAAGAAGTGGAAGACGGGGAAGATGTTCATGTCGAGGGTGGTCAACACGCTTGCAGGTTCTGCAAGTTTGCAAGTACTTCAGCGGAGGTTGGAATTGTTTTTCCTCGCTCTTTTATGTCTGTTCCTGTAACTGATTACTTAGGAGGTCGATAAACATCGCGCTCGACAACATAACCGTAACACCGGGTATCTTTGTCATATATGTGACTATATGGCAAACTGGAGCAAGTCATTTTACGAGCATTGTAAAGAACATTGGGTAAGTCTGTTTCGAGATGACCTTCTTTGCTGGCTACTGACATTTACCAACTTTTTTTGATAATTGGATACCTAGCCCAACGGTCTTCTTTTTTTGCCTCCAGTCTTCCTTATTCATCTCCTTTTCTTTCGCTGACTTTTCCTTCAGTTTTCCTATCATCATTCTTAGTAAGCTCCCACTCCAGTCCACCGTTTTCGACCCTACTGCATATTCTAGCTTGTCTCCTATCATTAACGCCTTCTTTTCATGCGTACATGCGCACGCTCCCACGGCTTTTTGTAAGTTACAAAATCTTTTACGCACTCAGAACGCTTGGAGAAGCGTGCTTGAGCGTGATTGTGCGCTTTTCATTCTCCCTAAATAGATCGATCTTCACCAAGATTCATAACATTATCGAGACGAGCCCTCGCCCTCAAGCGTTAAATCACAGTGATAAGTCACGAAGCAAGAACTCTTCTGACTTATTTGCTAAGCAGTCGGATCGCTCGGCTGACGCCGAGCTCTCCTCCTTCTCTTTAGCTCGGCTTCGCCGAGCTGGCCTGCCTTCGGCAGGCGCACATAACTGAAACGCAACTTTTTTGATAGTGGGCTGCTCATACAGCGCTGTAGTGATCGAATCGTAACAGAGAGCAACGCTGCGGATCCTGCTTTCCTAAGCACACGCTTAAATTTGCGCTTATACAGAGCAATATGAATCTCTCAGTAGAAGAACAAATTCCATCTTCATCAACTGCACCAAAATGCCTACCGATTAACCCTTCCCTTTTCAATTACCATGCAATGCAATATGCTCCCTTATTATTCGTTCTCATCAGTAATTGAAAGGTTGAAGGTAAAAAAGCTATTGAAAGGTTGAAGGTAAAAAAGCTATTGAAGCTGAGCTATTATTTAGGTTTTCGGTTCTCCTCGAATTCCCTGAGCTCCCTGTTTCACGCGAACTACATACCACCCCCCCCTCTCCCCCTCCCCCCCCCTCGTCGACATCGACATTAATGCCATAGCCTACACCATACCTTGGAACTAACGTCCTACTCATGCTGTGACCCGCGCTGTGGACTCGGTGCCCCTCCCCTTCTGACGCCTCTTATCAGATCTTATCAACTGATATCACTCCCTGCCACCCACCAATCACGTTCTGTCCCATACCCTATATCGTACCTCGGAACTAACGTCCTGCTATTGCTGTCACCCGCGTTATGAATATGGTGACCTCCCCTTCTAACGCCTCTTATCGTATCTTATCAACTGATGATATCACTTCCTGTCACCCACCAATAGTGTTCCCGTCACACCGCCTACATCACTTCTTGAAATCAATGTCTCACTGCTACTGGGACCGGCGCTATGAATTTCGTGACACACACACACACACACACACACACACACACACACACACACACACACACACACACACACACACACACACACACAGAGAGAGACCTACTTAGTGAAAATTATATAGAGTAGGATAGTGGGATGACAACAGAAGATTCTTCTTTATTCCAGACGCAACCTCCTTATTCATGTGATCAGTGTTCATTTGTAGCCAATGATACGCTTCAGGAATATCTAGCCCATCGCTTAACTCACAGTAGGTTTTGATTTTTTTTACTGGTTCTCTTTGCTTTGCACTATTCACCCTTTATTACTACTCCAGCCATTCGAGAACCGGCCAGTTTTTGAGCGACTTTCTACTCCGAGAACAGACTTGACTAAAAAATTGTCCACTGGGTAGTTGGACCTCTCCAACACGAATGCCACATCCACTTGCCTCGAGAGCTCCGGCGTCAAAATACTCGAAATCGCCAAATTCGCGGGAAACTTGTTCATGGGACCTCCTGCACATAAGTATCCACGCCAATTACTGTAGATCACCAGAACCCGCAGAAATCTTTTCCTATGGGCAGTTTGACCCCTGAAGCCAAACATGACATCCGTTTAGTCTGACGCCGTTTGAGGCATACGTCCGAGCGACTCATCACGCGCTTGTTTCGACTCCGGCGCGTGTATCTCGGACTACAGTCAGTTTTGTGCCGAGAGCTGTGCTGAGGCAGTCTGGAACACACTGGGCGGAAAGGCACCACTCTCTCTGGGTACCTGTGATAGTGTTCTGTCCCTTCACTAAAGTCAGCATCAGCAGAAGAAGGGAATGGTCGGGGGAGGGAGCAGGCGAGCACGAGCAGGTTGCGCTATTACGTGTACCCCTGTCATTCCATCCTTAACTTTCTTAAAACAGCTCCGGCGATAAAGTGTCATGGATAGTTGCTGTTCAATTATGAAACAGTAGCTGATAAGTAATTCCCCAAAGAAGAAAAAAAAAGCAAGAAGACCTCAAGAACACCATGAACAAGCTCCCTGACAGTCACACCGCCCTGCGGTCTCTGTGCAACCCCTGGCTCACAAATCGCTTTTTCGCATCTCGCCAGTAGTAAATATCATCCAGTGCAAAGGAAAGAATACAAAAAACAACAAAAACACGGACGAAAAACAAACGAAAAAAGAAAATTTCAAAAACTCGGCGTCCGAATTTGGGGTTACGGTAGCGTGCATCTTTTAGTGCATGTCGAGCTTTTGCACCACGAAAATTGCATCACTCGTGATTTTTACGCGTTTTACCTTGCGAGATGGGTTGCAGTTGGCTGCATGTGCTCTAATGAATAAAATGTAATAAAGGAGAGCAGAATTATTTATGGGCACGAGCGTGGTCAGCAAAAAGGACATGCAATTCCGATTAATGCCCGCCGCCCCAACAACTGAGCGGCCCTCCGTCAGAGGGCATCTAGCAAGTGGGCGGTCCAACTGGGCGGGCGTTAGAACTAGAACTTTCAGCGGCTGTAGCTCGCTCCTCGCTCACTGTGGAGTCGCGAGAGTGGGATAGTCTCTAACTGCTGTCTTTAACACCCCATAGAGATGCAGTATCCGGGTTCAAGAGACAGTTTACCCTGGAAACAGCATTTGGTGATCCAATAGTAAGGTGTTTTGGCGCTATCGCCAGGAGCTTTCGGGGCAAGCGGATGTGATATTCTGTTCGAGAGGTCCAAGTAATTCAGGATACTATAACGCTGGCGCCTGTGGCGCAAGTGCCGAAAACTTTTGGGCCAAGCGGCTTTTTAGCCAAGTCTGCCTTCTGAGAAAAAGTCGGTAAGAAGCTGGCCTGATTTCGGATGACTGGGGCAGCAAAGGGTCAATAGTGCCGTTTGCTTAATTTCATGATTGTTATCATAAGGTTGCAGAATTTAAAACAAAACCCCCAATTGGGACGGAAGTTTTAATCAAAGGTATGCTTGCGGCCATCGTGCTCTTTACAGGACACAAAGTTCCATGACGTTCTCTTACCACAGCATTACCGAAATACCCACGAGATATGTAATATTTACCTAATATCTCATCTGAGAATATATGATCAGTCGACGAGCTGTCTGGCCGGTACGGTCCTGGAACTATCGCTTTGAAAGCTACAAGTGCATAATGTAGCACTTTCCTTTCCTTATAAACTGCGCCGATGTTCGGAATTCACATTTTCATTGAAAAAATCCTTTACTGGTGAGCTTAATCAAAAGTTTGTTCCCTAGGGTATTCTGACCTACTGAAAATGAACACCACATCCACTCGAAGCGAAAAGACCTGGCACCCGCAACACAAGCACCGTGATGAGCCACTATTGCCACAGCACACGTGCCAAACATTTTCGCGCGAAGCAGTTGAGATGCGTGTGTTCAGAAGGTGGGAATTCCCCGTGAGACACGTTCACTTTTTGGCTTTTGTAAGCGTTTTACTCAGCGCATGCTTGAGAAACGGCTGATAGCTTCGCACCTCCTTCTTGTGATACTACCCGGCTTTGCTTAACAAGCATGGCTTCTCCGAACATATCTTCTTTCTTAACAT